GTGGTTTTTTTTTTTTGCAATTCACTTATGTCTAGGTTGTTTCATTTGCATAACACAAGTTGTTAATGAGTCTTTCTCCAATTCTGATGTCACATTCTTCTTTATATAGTCGAACTTCTCAAATGATTTGCTCAGCATGCAGATTGAATAGAATGGAGAAAATCTGAAGTTCTGACACACAACTTTTTCTGATTTTTTTTTCTATAATTATATTTTATTAATTTTCATAAACATTTACAGAGATTCTGGGCTTCCACTCATTCATTGCTGCACCACTGCAGCGTTTCCTTATTTTGTTTGGACACCTGCTTCTTGGTCTATGTATAGGTTTCTTGTGAGCACAGTTAAGTATTCTGAGATTCTCATTTTTATCACATTAGTCATAATGTGTTATTATCCATACCATCAAATACCTTCACATTATCAATAAAACACAAGTAAGAATCTTCTTGGTATTTTCTGCTTTCAGGCATGATCTGTCTATCACCTGCAAGGATATCCCTCATGCTGTGGGCTTCTCTGAGTCCACCTTGGATTTTTAGCAATTCCCTGTTGATGTATGGGTCCTGCCATTTTATACCAATTTTTTGCAAGTTTTTACTTATATGTTATATTAATGAATTTTTTCCCCAAGAATATCCACAGTCTGTTGGATACTCTTCTTTGAAATGGGAACCAATGTGGATCTCTACCAGTCTTGGCCACGTAGCTCTCTTCCATATTTATTGGCCGAGAGTGGTGAGCATACTCAACATTGTATCTGGTTTCTGAAACACCTCAATTAAGATCCCATGAATCCCTGGGGCCTTATTTATCTTCTAATGCCTTCAGTACATCTTAGACATCTTTCTTCAGTAATATTTGTAATTTATCAATTGCCACTTCCTGAAATTGTTCAGTGTTGACTAGTTCTTTTTTGGTCCAGTGATTCTGAATATTCTTTTTATCTTATTTTAATGCTTCCTGTAAAGCTCAATATGTTGCCCATGGAATCCATCAATGTTGCCACTCAAAGCTTGAATTGGTCTTTTCAGCTTGAAAAATGACCAGAGTGTCCTTCCTTTGTTTTCTAACTCTGACTCCTTCCATATTTCATTAAAATACTTTGTCTTCTCATGCTTTGGAATCATCTGTTTAGCTCTCTTACCTCCTATTTCTTCACCTTGTTCTGGCTTCTTTTCTTTCCAATGCAAGTTTCAGAATCTCTTCTGGCATGCCTTTTTCGTTTTTTCTTTCTTCTCTTTCTTTGTAACAGTGTTTTGCTTTCTGCAGGGACAATGTCCTTGATGTCATCCATAATTGTCTGATCTTCAGTCAATAGAGTTTGGACATCAGACCTATTCTTAAGATGGTCCTTAACTTTTGTTAGGATGCTCAGGAGAATATTTTCATTCTCACGGGCTTGTTTTCATTTCCTACAACTTCAATTTGAACTTGCGCATTAGTAGTTGATTATCTGTTCCACAGTCAGCCCTGATCCAGTTTTGAATGCCAATATTGAGCCTCTGCACAACGCTCACCAGTTTCTATCAAGAAATAGGGGAGAAGGTACCTGGCCAACTTAACGGGGGTAGATCCATTGTTTTCCTATTCCCAGGAAGTGTGGTTTAATAGATTGTGGAAATTATTAGAAGTATCATTAAAAACTTGTTATGCTGATGACACAACCTTGCTTTCAGAAAATGAAGAAGACTTGAAGCATTTACTGCATAAACTCAGAGATGATAACTTTCAATAAGGAGTACATCTCAACTTCAAGAAACAAAAATCCTCACTATTGGATCAATATGCAACATTATGATAGATGGGGAAAAGATTGATGTTGTCAACAATTTCATTTTACTTGGATCCGCAATCAATACCCTTTGTAGCAGCAATTAAAGCAAATGAGGAGTTCCATTTGTAAAATTTGTTATCAAGGACTTCTCCAACGTTCTAAAGAGTAAAGATCTCCTAAGATGTGCCTCATCCAAGCTTTAATATGTTCAATTGCTTCCTATACATCTAAAAGGACAATGAAGAAGGAAGACCAAAGAAAAATTGCTACCATTGAATTGTGATGCTGGTAGAGTATTAAGCATACATCAACTTCTAAAAAAAAGCCCAAAACAAACAAAAACCCAAAGATATCTGTCTTGAAGGAAGAGCCCATAGAATGTTGCTTAGGGGAAACGACAGTGATATTTTTGTCTCTCTTACTTTTAACACATTTTCTGGAGGAACCAGTCCTTAAAATGACACATCATGCTGGGCAAGGTAGAAGATCAACAGAAGAGAGGAAAATCCTCAATGAGCTAGATTAATGTAGTGACTATGACAGTGGCTGTGAGCATAACAGACCTGGATAGGACAAGACTCAAATTATGCTGTTTATCGAGTCTCATAGAGCTGTATTTGACTCAATGGTATCTAACAATAACATGTCAAGGAAACCTAATATTTATTATTAATCTTTCATCTTATATTAACTTCATAGGCAGGAAAAGCTGAAGAGGAATCTCACTTTTAAAAGCACACATTCACTTCTTCATAAAACAGAACAACTTAATATGCCCACTGCCTTTGATTTGATACCGACTAATATACTTTCTGTTCATTTACTCTAAGTGTTCTCTGCTGTACAGAGTTTTTAAAGGCCTGTTATATTTGCTATATATAAATTGGTCTGACTTGGAGAGGGTGAAATCAAATCTCTCCTGGGAGTCTAGGATTTTGAAGCTTCATCTCACATTCTTTGGGCACGTGGCCAGGAAAGACCAGTCCTTGGAGAAGGACATCATGCTTGGAAGAGTGGAGGGATGACACAGGAGAGGGAGATCCTGGACAAGATGGATTGATACAGTAACTGGGGCAATGTGGGTTGGTGTGTCAGAGTTAGTGAGACTGGCTCAGGACAGGAAAGGGTTCAGAGCTGCTGTACAAAGGGTCGCTATGGGTTGCAGGTGACTCGACAGCACATAACAACAACAACAACAATATACTTTTGGAAATACATACTTAATTACATATTGACTCATATACTGAGAGTATATACTCATAGAATTAAGGGATTTCTGGTGGCCTAGTGATAAGAACTTGAACTGAATCCCAAACGTACATGGTTCAAATCCACTAGCTGTTACACCGTAAAAGGATGGGCAATCTCCTTCTGTGTGTGTTACTGCACTTGAACAATATATAGACCAAATATGCATATTGGAGACTCTCACAGAATAATCTGTAAATAGTTATGCTGCCATCCTAAAGACCTCACAAATATAATTCAAAATATACAATGTCTGAGAACCCTTTGGGGTGTCAGTTATGAGTCAGTTCCTACTTGACAGCACGCAACAAAAACTATACGTATTTTTAATGAAAATATTGGGGAGCTCTGGTGACCTAGTGGCAAAAAGCTGTGGTGCAACCCCAAGGATATAAGGTTCGAGGCCACCAGCAGCTCCATGGGAAAAGGATGGGCAGTCTCCTCCTGTGCAATTAACTGCCTCTGAAAATCTGCCAGAGAGTCAGCTATGGGTCGGTTCCAGTTCCGATTATATGCTTCACAGCAACAGCAATGTAGATATTGTTGCTCTTAAGACTTTTAACTATGGAAATGTGACAAAGCCTGAATACATCAAAGTGTTTGGAAATATCTGTGGTTCTGATGAGCTTCCTATTCCCCCCTTTACTAGATGTTACTGTATCCTGAGACAACACCTTCGCCTCACCTATTAACATTGTTACAGTCTCAGATCAACAAACTGCTGATGGCTGCACTATTGTAGACCTTCCAGATTTCATCATTACATAATTCCCGAACAGCATCGTTATGTATCTGCCAAGCCACTGAGAATCATGGTCTTGCCAAGTGGGCACATAACCTTAACCGTCACCACAAGTGTTAATGCAACCTCATACTTTGGGGTTCATTAGTGTCAGACATCTATTGTTAATGTATACAACAGTCAGTTAGCAGAGTTTTCCTATTGTAATTTCAAAATATTGGATGATAAAATAGTGCATAAGGGTTGTTTGCTAGGACAACAAGTTTCTGGGAACTGTTTGTCTCCCTTTCTCCCTCTTCCATTCTTAGCACCAGTCATCCTTTTCCCCCTTTTTTCAGTCCTTCTCTCTCCTCTGTTTCCTCTGGATTTGGTTGCTGTTGTTAGCTGCCCAGGAGTCAGCCTCCAGCTCACACACAGCTGGATAAAACGGTTCTCAGTGGTGCCCTGTGGCCGTGATTGAGTGTGTAGGGGTATGTTGTGATACACAGAGATTTCACTGGATGATCTTAGGATGCAAATATCCAGGGTGAAATTCCAGTTCATCTTCCTCTCCAAGTTCTGTTGACATCTGTTTAGCGTCATGGCAGCAGGCAGTTGGACATGTGTTGATAAAGCACTTTTTCTGTGATCATTGTCAGGCATTCTAGTTTTCTTTATAACCATCGGTGAGACTTTCTTCAAAGTAGGATGAAATATGTGTCTTTCCCTTTGGGATATTATTTTAAGAGTACAAGCAATCTGGAAAGAAATGTTAGGACCTCTGATTAAGTTTAAACAGGTTTTAGCTTCATTCTTTACTGTAAAAGTATAGTATTAATGTGTACTGAAAATGTTTTGAAAAGTAGTCCTTTCAAAAAAAGTGTAGCTCTTTACTAGTCTAAAGTTAAAATTTGATGTGATTTTATAGAATATAAATTATTATATATGATCTATCATATACAATGCATGAATCTGGAGACATAGTACAGTGCAATTTTTGTTGGGCCTCTAAACCAAAGATTGGCAGGTGAGATTCTGCGGTTGATCTGCTAAGGGAACATTTAACAGTCTCCTCTCACAAAAATGTACCTTGAGTCTTGGAAACCTGGTGCGGAGGGTCACTGACCAATTCCAAGACCCTGAGTGAGAGTCTCATTAGAGACTAAGCCACCAGAGTTTCCATTATGCATGTTTTCCTGTGTGTCTGTTTTGGTCCATTTATCCTGATAGACTTTGTGCTGCTTTCTTTTACAGCATAGGTGGAGACGTAGGGCGAGGCCACGAAGGGAGTTACGTGGGCAAGCATTTCCGCATGGGGTTCATGACGATGCCTGCCCCTCAGGACAGACTTCCTCATCCTTGCTCCAGCGGCTTTTCTGTGAGATCCCAGTCCCTGCACTCGGTTGGAGGTACAGATGATGACAGCAGCTGTGGCTCCCGGAGACAGCCGCCCCCCAAACCCAAGCGGGACCCTAGCACCAAGCTGAGCACCTCGTCCGAGACGGTCAACAGCACGGCATCCTGTAAGAGTGGGAAGCCCCCTGACAGACCTGAAGGTAAAACACTGAGAAAAGTGATTCAGAAACTGCACACACAGGCCCACATGCTAACAAACATCTGCTTTGTTTTCTGGGCTACATAATTCTGCCTCTGTCACTCAGAAGCCCCAGAAAAGAATTCAAGGAAAGGTTATTTCATGGTACATTATCAAAGGACGTTCAGAAGTCTAGCATCATTAAGGAAAGGCACGATGCCCCATGAAACTTCAAATTATTAGAGAAAAATATTTTTTCTAACATACAACATCTCTAATGAATATTTTTGGTTTTATTAAATTTGCATAGTTACAAGAAACCCTAGGGCTGCGATAAGTAGTGTCTTAGCTGGTAATCTTTTTTTAAAAAAATATTATTATTACTATTGTTGTTATTATTATTCATTTTAATGAAAATTTACAGCTCTTTTGGATTTTCATTCATTCATTGTTGCACTTTTCTCCTTGCCCACCCCTTCCTCCCCCCCCCAATTAACTCTTCTTTGTGAAAAGTTGAAGAACGATTCTTTCATTGTTATACAGTTTCTCCCCCCAAGTCCACTCCACTGTGCAGCCTTTGTTCTGTACTCCTGTCATGACAATAATACCTGGTGGCTCAAACCAATTCACTACAAAAATCCTCAAAATGTGTTTCCATAAAAATGAAAATAAAAAAACGACAGCCCAAAACCAAAAAACAATGCAAGCCCATTGTCATTCATTAATTCTGACCCATGGTTGACCCTCCAACGGGTTTGTGAGACTGCAAATCCTGCGGGAAGAGATTTTTCCATCTTTCTTCCGTTGAGTCAGTGGTGGATTTGAACCACCAGAGAGACCTGTGGTCCTTGGATTACAGCTTAGAAAGCTGTACAAAGCAGGTCTACTTTATCACATGGCTTGTCAGAATTGAGTCAGGGGCACCGAACAGCAGCGACAGCCATTGTGTAATCATAGAAGCATGATGTGGTTATTAAGAAATGATTTAATGCAGGAAAAGGAAAAGAAGAAAAACATCTAAACTTATTTTTGAAGTAACTCTCTCTTTTGACATCTTGACATATGTTTTGTAATTAATATAAATTCATGCATGTTTATTGAGGGAAGAATATGGCAGTTGCCCCCTCCCCCCCCAATCGCTTCCTGCTTAACTTGATAACACCTTAGCTGGTCACATCAAAGATCAGGCCAGACAATGGATCCTGATAAGAGTCTGAGCTTGATTAAAAATCGCTAAAACCTAACTTAATTAACATGCCAAATTCCGAGAAGTACCATCTTAGTCCTCCCCAGGACCCCTATAAAAAGGAAACACCCCCCCAAAACTGCCCATGAGCCATTCTGATCCTGTCTACATGCCATGTGGCCAGGTCACTTGGAGCCCCTCTCAGACGCAATAAATGCATGTTCATTTCTTGGAACTAATTTCTTTCTTTATTTCTCTGCCTCGCTCCCTAATACTCTTTTTTTATATCTAACATATGGTTCCCTGGCCAGGAAACAACCTGGGCCTCAGAGGTGAAAGCACCAAATCCTCGCCACTACATTTATGTCTCTATTTAGAATGTAAAATGTATGTAATTATATAATATATATTTCAGTCTCCAACCTCTTCTCTAATTTCTACTTATACCCACATTTTTTTACTTGGCCATGAAATAAAAAAAAATCAGATTCATCCATGCCTCTTATGAATATAAATTAGGTCATGTTAACTCCTGATTTTACCAGTTCTTCAACTCTTACTTATGTAAGTCAAGTGTCATTTACTTGACTTATTTCTGAGAGACCACTGATGTGAGAGGATTCTCAAGTGTGTTTTGATACTATCTGAACATGGACCAGTTACTCTACATTTTCTTCCAATAATGAAGGGAACCGAGAGACAGGAGAAAGAAGTCAGCTTTTCCTGCATAGTGCTATTGTTACTATTGTGTTAAGTACTATTGGGTCAGGACTGATTCAAAGCTGACCTTCCAGCAGGTTTTCAGAGGCAGTTATTTATCTGTATGGGAGAAGATTGTCCATTTTTCTCTCGTAGAGAAGCAGGTAGATTTGAACTGCATGCCTTTGGATTGGCAGCACGATGCCTTACCACTAGGTCACCACATCTCCCACACAGTGATAAAGAAACTTATTAAGGATTTATCCACAATGTGATGCCCTGGGCAGCAGCAAGACGTCCTCAAATTTCTGCACACCTAAAAGCAAGTGCTTTTATGGCTACTTAGTGCAAAAGTGACTTGGTGTAAAGCCACTCTCAGAAACAACTCGGGTCTCCCAGTGCTGCCAGGGAACAGCATGAGAAGTTGGTTCTACCTGATCATAATTTTTTTTCTTCTGACCTGATGCACTTGCTGCAGAAGGTCAAAAACTGAAGCCTTCAATATGGATTGATGATCAATATTAAGAGGACCAAGATTCTCACCACTGGGCCAATTGGCAGCATCAGGATGGATGGTGAATAGATTGAGGTTGTTCACAGCTTTAGTTTGCTTGGCTCCATAGTCAACACTCTTGGCACCAGCAGCCAGGAAATTAAAAGACATATTGTGATGGGAAAGATTGCTGTTAGGGACCTCTCCAAAGTACTGAAGAGCAATGGTGTCACTCTGGAGACTAAGGTGCACCTGATACAGGCCATGGTCTTTGCAATCACTTGCTATGCATCAGAGAGCTAGACAATGACTAGAGAGGATAGAAGTAGAATTGATGCCTTTGAGCTGTGGTGTTGGAGAGGAGTACTGTATATACCATGAACTGCTAAGGGAATGAACAGGTTTGTCCTGGAGAGGGTGAAGCCAGGCTGCTCCTTGGAGGCAAGGATTCTGAAGCTTTATCTGAGATACTTTGGACATGCTGCAAGGCAAGGATTCTGAAGCTTTATCTGAGATACTTTGGACATGCTGCAAGGAGGAACCATTTCTTGGAGAGGGACGTCATGCTTGGGAGGGTGGAGGGACAGTGCAGGAGAGGAAGGTCCTGGATGAGATAAATTGATTGAGTGACTGGGGTAATGGGAGTAGGTGTGTCGGAGACAGTGAGCTTGGCACAGGACAGAGCAGGGTTTAGGGCTGTTGTACATAGAGTTGCTATGAGTCGCAAGTGATTCGATGGCACACAATAACAACAACAACCTTTTTGGTATTTATGTTGATTCCATTATGTTCTCTATCGTGGATAATCCTCCAATGAGTGTGTACATGTGAGTGTGTACATTTATATTTGTACCATGATTTATTTAGAGTAGAATCAACTTGACAGACAGCATCTAAGAACGTCTTTGGTAAACCCTCTTTATTGTTACTCTACTTTCTTAGAGCATATCAGAAATTTTCTGTTTTTTCTTCCTCCTGATTGAAGGTCATCCGTCTCTCCTTCCACATGTAATACAATGATGCTTACAGAAGGAAGAAAATAGATGTTTAGTCTATAAAGGTATCTTGAGACTTAACCTTCATAAATTTTAAAGATTTCCCCCAAAAATTGATACATGGTAGATTCAGCTCTCTTTATTGTTTCTGTCATCCTTCTTTCATGTCTAATATAGCAAATAGTATAATCAATTACATCAGACTGTTTATAAAAGAAACTTAGAGCTATGGTCTATGAATAAAAATGGTGGGATATAATGTATTCTAATAAGGTTTTCAAAAATCAAGAAGGAAGAATCATTGGCAAGGGAGAGGAAGTGTGAAAAAGAGAAGGATAAAGAAGAGTCTACTGGGAAGCTTAATGCTGCTGTAAAAACTCTCAGGCAGAAATATCCACCACTATCTTCCTTTAGGTGAAGGTAGCTGGGATCTTTATAATTATGTGTAGAGAAAAAATGATAGTTTGGATTGCTTTTCAAATTTCTATTTAAAATAGAAATTATCATTATTCACCTGAAACTGCTAATGTGAGTTCGAGTGGCTTGTAATTCTCGATCAAGTCTCTTTATGATCTAGAATCTGAACTTCCAAATGGCCAGTTAGTAGACAGAAGGCAATATCTAGCTACCTGACTATCCACAGGAGCTCTGGTGGGCTAGTGGTAAGAAGCTGTGCTGCAATACCAAAGACACATGGTTCAAATCCACCAGCTGCACTGCAGGAAAAGGATGGGCAATCTCTTCCCATGCAATTAGCTCCCTCTGAAAACCTGCTGGAGGGTCAGCTATGAGATGGTCCTGAGTTGAACACACACACATCCTATGACCCTCTTTATGTGTATATATCTCTGCGTACGTCCAAAGGCCTTATCTCCACTTTGGAGTTGGATGAAGCGGCTGGAGTCTGTAAGATGGTGCTCTTGTTTTGGTTGAGAATCTATGTGGATTATTTAGTTGTTTTTTATTTAAGCCTCTTGTTTAGGGTCAACAACACCTCCTGGAGGGCCCTTATAGTTAAAAGTTGTGCCTGAGGGATTATTTTTAATCCCTTGTTACTATATTTTGAATTAACATTCTTCTAAATTATACAGCTCTCTGGCCAATTTGGTGTAAAGAGGTAATCTGGGTTTACTGTGACACTGAATCTTGTGCAATTTGGGTTTCAAGGCCATAATGGAACAACTGGGCCATAGGTGTGCCCAACACCATAATGACTACCCATCATGGGCAGTGTTTGGTGGAGCTCTCAGGTTGATTAAGTTTGGAAGTAGGAGTGGCATCTACTTCCTAAACCATATGCCTCTGGAAACTCTATGAACTTAGAAAAACAACGATAGTTATAGAAAGTCTTCAGGCCTTTGGTTCATATATATGATATAGATAGATAGATAGATAGATAGATAGATAGATAGATAGAGATAGACATAGAGATATGAGAGAGAGAGAGAGAGAGAAGGACAGTTATATAGCACTTCTTTGTCAATTTGCTGCACTAAAGTAATCTGGGTTTACTGTGATGCCGAATCTTGTGCCATTGAGGGGTCAAATGCCATAACGGCTGCCCATGGTGGACAGTGTTTGATGGAGCTTCCACTTTAAGACAGGTTTGGAAATAGGAGGGGAGGAAAAGGGGAAAGAGGAGCAGGTTT